CATCAGGCCCCTGTAACGCTGTCATCAGGCCCCTGTAACGCTGTCATCAGGCCCCTGTAACGCTGTCATCAGGCCCCTGTAACGCTGTCATCAGGCCCCTGTAACGCTGTCATCAGGCCCCGTAACCTGTCATCAGGCCCCTGTAACGCTGTCAACAGGCCCCTGTAACGCTGTCATCAGGCCCCTGTAACGCTGTCATCAGGCCCCTGTAACGCTGTCATCAGGCCCCTGTAACGCTGTCATCAGGTCCCCCCCTGTAACGCTGTCATCAGGCCCCTGTAACGCTGTCATCAGGCCCCTGTAACGCTGTCATCAGGCCCCTGTAACGCTGTCATCAGGCCCCTGTAACGCTGTCATCAGGCCCCTGTAACGCTGTCATCAGGCCCCTGTAACGCTGTCATCAGGCCCCTGTAACGCTGTCATCAGGCCCCTGTAACGCTGTCATCAGGCCCCTGTAACGCTGTCATCAGGCCCCTGTAACGCTGTCATCAGGCCCCTGTAACGCTGTCATCAGGCCCCTGTAACACTGTCATCAGGCCCCTGTAACGCTGTCATCAGGCCCCTGTAACGCTGTCATCAGGCCCCTGTTAACGCTGTCATCAGGCCCCTGTAACGCTGTCATCAGGCCCCTGTAACGCTGTCATCAGGCCCCTGTTGTCATCAGGCCCCTGTAACGCTGTCATCAGGCCCTGTAACGCTGTCATCAGGCCCCTGTAACGCTGTCATCAGGCCCCTGTAACACTGTCATCAGGCCCCTGTAACACTGTCATCAGGCCCCTGTAACGCTGTCATCAGGCCCCTGTAACGCTGTCATCAGGCCCCTGTAACGCTGTCATCAGGCCCCTGTAACGCTGTCATCAGGCCCCTGTAACACTGTCTGTCAACGCTCAGGCCCCTGTAAAACGCTGTCATCAGGCCCCTGTAACGCTGTCATCAGGCCCCTGTAACGCTGTCATCAGGCCCCTGTAACGCTGTCATCAGGCCCCTGTAACGCTGTCATCAGGCCCCTGTAACGCTGTCATCAGGCCCCTGTAACGCTGTCATCAGGCCCTGTAACGCTGTCATCAGGCCCCTGTAACGCTGTCATCAGGCCCCTGTAACGCTGTCATCAGGCCCCTGTAACGCTGTCATCAGGCCCCTGTAACGCTGTCATCAGGCCCCTGTAACGCTGTCATCAGGCCCTGTAACGCTGTCATCAGGCCCCTGTAACGCTGTCATCAGGCCCCTGTAACGCTGTCATCAGGCCCCTGTAACGCTGTCATCAGGCCCTGTAACGCTGTCATCAGGCCCCTGTAACGCTGTCATCAGGCCCCTGTAACGCTGTCATCAGGCCCCTGTAACGCTGTCATCAGGCCCCTGTAACGCTGTCATCAGGCCCCTGTAACGCTGTCATCAGCCCCTGTAACGCTGTCATCAGGCCCCTGTAACGCTGTCATCAGGCCCCTGTAACGCTGTCATCAGGCCCCTGTAACGCTGTCATCAGGCCCCTGTAACGCTGTCATCAGGCCCTGTAACGCTGTCATCAGCCCCTGTAACGCTGTCATCAGGCCCCTGTAACGCTGTCATCAGCCCCTGTAACGCTGTCATCAGGCCCCTGTAACGCTGTCATCAGGCCCCTGTAACGCTGTCATCAGGCCCTGTAACGCTGTCATCAGGCCCTGTAACGCTGTCATCAGGCCCCTGTAACGCTGTCATCAGGCCCCTGTAACGCTGTCATCAGGCCCTGTAACGCTGTCATCAGGCCCCTGTTGTCATCAGGCCCCCTGTAACGCTGTCAACAGGCCCCTGTAACGCTGTCATCAGGCCCCTGTAACACTGTCATCAGGCCCTGTAACACTGTCATCAGGCCCCTGTAACGCTGTCATCAGGCCCCTGTAACGCTGTCATCAGGCCCTGTAACACTGTCATCAGGCCCCTGTAACGCTGTCATCAGGCCCTGTAACGCTGTCATCAGGCCCCTGTAACGCTGTCATCAGGCCCCTGTAACGCTGTCATCAGGCCCTGTAACGCTGTCATCAGGCCCTGTAACGCTGTCATCAGGCCCTGTTGTCATCAGGCCCCTGTAACGCTGTCACCAGGCCCCTGTAACGCTGTCAATCAGGCCCCTGTAACGCTGTCATCAGGCCCCATGTAACGCTGTCATCAGGCCCCTGTAACGCTGTCATCAGGCCCTGTAACGCTGTCACCAGGCCCTGTAACGCTGTCATCAGGCCCCTGTAACGCTGTCATCAGGCCCCTGTAACGCTGTCATCAGGCCCCTGTAACGCTGTCATCAGGCCCCTGTAACGCTGTCATCAGGCCCCCTGTAAACGCCCCTGTAACGTCATCAGGCCCCCCTGTAACGCTGTCAACCCCTGTCATCAGGGCATCAAGCCCCCTGTAACATCAGTAACGCTGCCATCTGGCTCCCTGTAACACTGTCATCAGGCCCCTGTAACGCTGTCATCAGGCCCCTGTAACGCTGTCATCAGGCCCCTGTAACGCTGTCATCAGGCCCCTGTAACGCTGTCATCAGGCCCCTGTAACACTGTCATCAGGCCCCTGTAACACTGTCATCAGGCCCCTGTAACGCTGTCATCAGGCCCCTGTAACGCTGTCATCAGGCCCCTGTAACGCTGTCATCAGGCCCCTGTAACGCTGTCATCAGGCCCCTGTAACACTGTCATCAGGCCCCTGTTGTCATCAGGCCCCTGTAACACTGTCATCAGGCCCCTGTAACACTGTCATCAGGCCCCTGTAACGCTGTCATCAGGCCCCTGTATACGCTGTCATCAGGCCCCCGTAACCGCTGTCATCAGGCCCCTGTAACGCTGTCATCCAGGCCCCTGTAACACTGTCATCAGGCCCCTGTAACACTGTCATCAGGCCCCTGTAACGACTGTCATCAGGCCCCTGTAACGCTGTCATCAGGCCCCTGTAACGCTGTCATCAGGCCCCTGTAACGCTGTCATCAGGCCCCTGTAACACTGTCATCAGGCCCCTGTTGTCATCAGGCCCCTGTAACGCTGTCTCTCCCCCTTTCTCTGCTCTTTCTCCCCTGTCCCTCCTCTCTACCGCCCCCCCCTCTCCCTCCCCCTCTCTCTCCCCCTCCCCCTCTCCCCCTCTTTCTCCCCCTCTCTCTCCCTCTCTCTCCCCTCTCTCCCCTCTCTCTCCCCTCTCTCTCCCCTCTCTCCCCCTCTCTCTCCCCCTCTCTCTCCCCTCTCTCTCCCCTCTCTCTCCCCCTCTCCTCCCCCTCTCTCTCTCCCCTCTCTCCCCCTCCTCTCTCCCCCCTCTCTCTCTCCCCCTCTCCCTCCCCCTCTCTCTCCCCTCTCTCTCCCCTCTCTTTCTCCCCCCTCTCCCTCCCCTCTCCCTCCCCTCTCCCTCCCCCTCTCTCTCTCCCCTCTCTCTCCCCTCTCTCTCCCCTCTCTCTCCCCTCTCTCTCCCCTCTCTCTCCCCCCTCCCCCTCTCCCCCCTCCCTCTCTCCCCCTCTCTCTCCCCCTCTCTCTCCCCCCTCTCTCTCCCCTCTCTCTCCCCTCTCTCTCCCCTCTCTCTCTCCCCCTCTCTCTCCCCCCTCTCTCTCCCCCCTCCCTCTCTCTCCCCTCTCTCCCCCCCCCCTCCCCCTCTCCCCCCTCCCTCTCTCTCCCCTCTCTCTCCCCCTCTCCCCCCTCTCTCTCTCTCCCCTCTCTCTTCCCCCCTCCCTCTCTCTCCCTCCTCTCTCCCCCCTCCCCCTCTCCCTCCCTCCCCTCTCTCTCCCCCTCTCTCTCCCCCTCTCCCCCTCTCCCCCCTCTCTCTCCTCTCCCCTCTCTCCCCCCTCTCTCTCACCCCTCCCCCTCTCCCCCCTCCCTCTCCTCTCCCCCTCTCCCCCCTCTCCCCCCTCTCTCTCTCTCCCCTCTCTCCCCCTCTCTCTCCCCCCTCTCTTTGCGGTGATGTGGTTCATCTGCTGTAATTGCTGTTTTCATGTCCACAATAATAATTACGGTGTTTTTTCCCTCAGGACGACCACAGACTGAAGCCTGATGACCTGGCGCAGCGGTACGGCCTGGACCTAGCACAGGTACGAGGCCGAATGCGAGTAATGAGGAGATAAACGACCAGCGGCGAGCGGCAAAACACGACTAATGTCTCATAACGAGGAATAGATTGAAGTGTGTTTTGTTTTTCTGTAAACGTTAAGTGAAAGTCGCCTTTAACTTCTCCCCCGAGATTTTAGCTGAATATAATATAAGCAACAGGTACATGTGAGGAGCACAGGGACTGGCCTCCTGCTGGGACTCTGAGGAGCACAGGGACTGGACTCCTGCTGGGACTCTGAGGAGCACAGGGACTGGCCTCCTGCTGGGACTCTGAGGAGCACAGGGACTGGACTCCTGCTGGGACTCTGAGGAGCACAGGGACTGGCCTCCTGCTGGGACTCTGAGGAGCACAGGGACTGGACTCCTGCTGGGACTCTGAGGAGCACAGGGACTGGCCTCCTGCTGGGACTCTGAGGAGCACAGGGACCGGCCTCCTGCTGGGACTCTGAGGAGCACAGGGACTGGACTCCTGCTGGGACTCTGAGGAGCACAGGGACTGGCCTCCCGCTGGTCCCAGAGTCAGGACTGAACATGTTCTTCTTCTTCTCTGACAATGTTCTGTTTCTGCAACAACTGAAGGATCTTTTTCTTTACTATTTTAATGACCTGTGATTATTTTGGACTTGTTTAAGTTTATATGACGTATGAGGTCCCACTGAGATGCAGAACCAAACAGGTCCAAATGAACGGAGCAGTCAAAACGACTGTTCGAGTCCAAGGAAGAATGACTCACAGATAATCTCATACTGTTCAGATAAAGATGACACACGACACTTTCAAAACGAAAAGCCGTCAAACTGACTGCTCTTGGAGTTCTAATGCTAATAAATAAAAATGTATATAAATAAGTAATAAGATAAAAACACAATGAGGCCCTGTACCTATACTTCCTTTGACATAGGGACCTGTACCTGTGGCTCATAGTGTGAGAGAGACCAGAGAGAGACCAGAGAGAGACCAGAGAGAGACCAGAGAGAGACCAGAGAGAGACCAGAGAGAGACCAGAGAGAGACCAGAGAGAGACCAGAGAGAGACCAGAGAGAGAGCAGAGAGAGACCAGAGAGAGAGACCAGAGAGAGACCAGAGAGAGACCAGAGAGAGACCAGAGAGAGACCAGAGAGAGAGACCAGAGAGAGACCAGAGAGAGACCAGAGAGAGAGACCAGAGAGAGACCAGAGAGAGAGACCAGAGAGAGACCAGAGAGAGACCAGAGAGAGACCAGAGAGAGAGACCAGAGAGAGACCAGAGAGAGAGACCAGAGAGAGACCAGAGAGAGACCAGAGAGAGAGATGCCACAGTGGGGCGGCTGTGGCTGTAAAGTGCCAAACTGTGGTTGTGTCCTTAGGCAAGACACTTCCACCACATTAGAATGAGTCTGGTGTGTGGTGGGAAGGGCCGATGGCACAGCTCGCTCCTGTCAATGTGCCCCAGGGCAGCTGTGGCTACAGTAGTAGTTATTGCACCTGTGAAGATTGTGTTTGGCCTCAACAGGAGACTGCAGCCTGGACATACACCAGCTCAACATTTGCCTTCATTATCCAGAATAGCGAGTCATCCCCACAAACTACTGTCTTTTAGAGCAGTGTGAGTCTGGTCCGGGGCCTGGGACTCCGCCGCGGGACCTCATTACCAAAGTCCAGCCCATTTCCACTGCTCTTGAGTGGGCCATTTCAAAGTGCGGCACCTCGTAAAACCGCGGGGCCCTCCCTCCTGAGCCGATGGGCCGTAAAGCCACAGGAAGTGCTTTATGGAGGCCGTTACCATCACAGACGCTGGCGAAGACGGTAAAGAGCACAAATCCTCACTAATACTGCAAATAAAGAGGTGTGAATCTGCGGGGCATCAGGGTGACTCAGTCTGCAGCTCACGGAACACACGGCTTTCACTTAATTGTTCACAAATATTATCACAAATTTATTTGTTTGAGAAAGGAACAATACATATTAATGAACAAATTATAGCCTTAGGCTAAAGTCCACCTGCAGACTCCTGCTGGTTAGTTAGTAAAAACATACAGACACTATTTACAGACAAGACACGGAGAGCAATGGGACCTCAGGTGATTAGTTTGGTCTCTCTCTCTGGTCTCTCTCTCTGGTCCCTCTCTGGTCTCTCTCTGGTCCCTCTCTGGTCTCTCTCTGGTCCCTCTCTGGTCTCTCTCTGGTCTCTCTCTGGTCTCTCTCTGGTCCCGCTCTGGTCTCTCTCTGGTCTCTCTCTGGTCTCTCTCTGGTCCCTCTCTGGTCTCTCTCTGGTCTCTCTCTGGTCTCTCTCTGGTCTCTCTCTGGTCCCTCTCTGGTCTCTCTCTGGCCTCTCTCTGGCCTCTCTCTCTGGTCTCTCTCTGGTCCCTCTCTGGTCCCTCTCTGGTCTCTCTCTGGTCTCTCTCTGGTCTCTCTCTGGTCTCTCTCTGGTCTCTCTCTCTGGTCTCTCTCTGGTCCCTCTCTGGTCTCTCTTTGGTCTCTCTCTCTGGTCTCTCTCTGGTCTCTCTCTGGTCCCTCTCTGGTCTCTCTCTGGTCTCTCTCTGGCCTCTCTCTCTGGTCTCTCTCTGGTCCCTCTCTGGTCTCTCTCTGGTCCCTCTCTGGTCTCTCTCTGGTCTCTCTCTCTGGTCTCTCTCTCTGGGTCTCTCTCTGGTCTCTCTCTGGTCTCTGGTCTCTCTCTGGTCTCTCTCTGGTCTCTCTCTCTGGTCTCTCTCTGGTCTCTCTCTCTGGTCTCTCTCTGGTCTCTCTCTCTGGTCTCTCTCTCTGGTCTCTCTCTGGTCTCTCTCTCTGGTCTCTCTCTCTCTCTCTGGTCTCTCTCTGGTCTCTCTCTGGTCTCTCTCTCTGGTCTCTCTCTGGTCTCTCTCTGGTCTCTCTCTCTGGTCTCTCTCTGGTCTCTCTCTGCTCTCTCTCTGGTCTCTCTCTCTGGTCTCTCTCTGGTCTCTCTCTGCTCTCTCTCTGGTCTCTCTCTCTGGTCTCTCTCTGGTCTCTCTCTGCTCTCTCTCTGGTCTCTCTCTCTGGTCTCTCTCTGCTCTCTCTCTGGTCTCTCTCTCTGGTCTCTCTCTGGTCTCTCTCTGGTCTCTCTCTCTGGTCTCTCTCTGGTCTCTCTCTCTGGTCTCTCTCTGGTCCCTCTCTGGTCTCTCTTTGGTCTCTCTCTCTGGTCTCTCTCTCTGGTCTCTCTCTGGTCTCTCTCTGGTCTCTCTCTCTGGTCTCTCTCTGGTCTCTCTCTGGTCTCTCTCTCTGGTCTCTCTCTGGTCTCTCTCTGGTCTCTCTCTGGTCTCTCTCTCTGGTCTCTCTCTGGTCTCTCTCTGGTCTCTCTCTGGTCTCTCTCTCTGGTCTCTCTCTGGTCTCTCTCTGGTCTCTCTCTCTGGTCTCTCTCTGGTCTCTCTCTGGTCTCTCTCTCTGGTCTCTCTCTGGTCTCTCTCTGGTCTCTCTCTGGTCTCTCTCTGGTCTCTCTCTGGTCTCTCTCTCTGGTCCCTCTCTGGTCTCTCTCTGGTCTCTCTCTCTCTGGTCTCTCTCTGGTCTCTCTCTGGTCTCTCTCTCTGGTCTCTCTCTGGTCTCTCTCTGGTCTCTCTCTGGTCTCTCTCTCTGGTCTCTCTCTGGTCTCTCTCTGGTCTCTCTCTCTGGTCTCTCTCTGGTCTCTCTCTGGTCTCTCTCTCTGGTCCCTCTCTGGTCTCTCTCTGGTCTCTCTCTCTTGGTCTCTCTCTGGTCTCTCTCTGGTCTCTCTCTCTGGTCTCTCTCTGGTCTCTCTCTGGTCTCTCTCTCTCTGGTCTCTCTCTCTGGTCTCTCTCTGGTCTCTCTCTGGTCTCTCTCTGGTCTCTCTCTGGTCTCTCTCTGGTTTCTCTCTGGTCTCTCTCTGTTGGTTTTACAGCCTCTAAACCTACAGCTGCTGAGAGAATTGACCTTATTGTGTGAGTGTGTTTTTTAGAGCACATCACCCCAACTTTAAATCAGGGACCACTGTTAAACAAATCTCTAAATATAAGTGCAGCAACATGGGCGGGGATAGGTGGTAGGTGAAACTGGCATTTTCATAGGCCTTGAATGCAGGACAATACTCATACAGGAATCAAACTTTGTGAAGAAAACTCTGCTCATGATTCAGTTTTCTATTATTTCTCTGGATCATATTTCTCCGCGGCTCCTGTCTCTTATAAAAACCTTTTGGCTGCAAAAGTCCAAAGTGATTGATGACACGTTAACACATATCTGTCTTTATGAAAGTGGATTTTGGATATGAAACTTATCGCCGCTTCATCAACATTACAGAATAAGCTCCTTTCTGCCGTGCGCCTGTGTACAATGCTAACAGTGCTCCGGTCCCTCACAGATGTAGCGATAGCGAGCGCGGGCACCGAGCCGCCGTTTCCCTGGTCCTCTGCAGAGATAAGGCCTGAGACTGGGGCCGTATCGGAGCAGGTGTAACCACGGGGATTGTGGAGTTTATCTGCCTTTGTGTAGCACGAGAGCAGCTAGCGTGACCGCGGGATTAGGGCCAGACGTGGCTTTAGAAATGTCCTTTCTCCAGACGTTAAAGAGCCAGGTATTGGATATCGATGAGAGGCTGAGGAGCAGATGGAGGCGCTGTTATAATGTGCACAATGCTACTTTTAAAGGTGGTTTTGTGAGTTTTTCAACCATGTCACAGATACAGGCTGTTTGCCATTTGCAGTTCAACCATTTTGGAATACATGGGGACTCTTATGCAATACATGCACAAGAGTCCCCAGTGTGCAGCAGGCGAAACAATCATCACTGAAACTGAGAAAAACAGCTTCAACACAAGATTAAAGTGCTGGGCTCAGACTGAGAACAGCTGAAAGAAGCTAATAGAGAAATACATAATCTGCCTCCTCATGTTCAGTCCCTGTGCTCCTCAGAGTCCCAGCAGGAGGCCAGTCCCTGTGCTCCTCAGAGTCCCAGCAGGAGTCCAGTCCCTGTGCTCCTCAGAGTCCCAGCAGGAGTCCAGTCCCTTTGCTCCTCAGAGTCGCAGCAGGAGTCCAGTCCCTGTGCTCCATGGAGAGACAGAGCTGCATTTAAGTCTAGTCTCTGAGCCACGAGAAGCAGAGACCTGAGACCAGGACTAATGTGATGATACTTCCTGGTTCTAGTCTGGACTAATGTGATGATACTTCCTGGTTCTAGTCTGGACTAATGTGATGATACTTCCTGGTTCTAGTCTGGACTAATGTGATGATACTTCCTGGTTCTAGTCAGGACTAATGTGATGATACTTCCTGGTTCTAGTCAGGACTAATGTGATGATACTTCCTGGTTCTAGTCAGGACTAATGTGATGATACTTCCTGGTTCTAGTCAGGACTAATGTGATGATACTTCCTGGTTCTAGTCTGGACTAATGTGATGATACTTCCTGGTTCTAGTCTGGACTAATGTGATGATACTTCCTGGTTCTAGTCAGGACTAATGTAATTCTACTTCCTGGTTCTGGTCAGGACTAATGTAATTCTACTTCCTGGTTCTGGTCAGGACTAATGTAATTCTACTTCCTGGTTGTAGTCTGGACTCGAGCTGCAGCGTTTTGAGCAGATGTGGAGGTTTTATGGCACAGTGGGGCTGTTGCATGATCCAATAATGGTTAATTACAGCCTGAAAAAAAAGACTTTCATTTGTAAATGACCAGTTGGAACCCGATGGTTGTTTCAGAACATCTGGAACTAAACATAATCAGAATAATCTGGTAAAGAATCATTTTGCACAAAGACCTTATGAATAATGATAATAAATGAGTCTGGATTTACGAATCACAAAAGCTGCATTTATCCAAGTCCTTCATGAACAATAAAACTGAATAAACAACAACAAAATACATCTTAAGAATGACAAACGATCTTGATTTGAGTCAGTAATGTGTAATTAATCCCCCATGTCCCTTCTCTTCTTCAGGGCCTGACCAACGCCAAAGCGGCGGAGGTCCTGGCTCGTGACGGTCCTAACGCCCTGACTCCGCCCCCCACGACCCCAGAGTGGATCAAGTTCTGCAGGCAGCTGTTCGGAGGCTTCTCCATCCTGCTCTGGATCGGGGCCTTCCTCTGCTTCTTCGCTTTCGGCATCCAAGTGGCAACAGAGGACGAGCCGGTCAACGACAACGTAAGGACTGTTCACCTACTGTTCACATAATCACCTCTGTGTGAGGAACTCCTACTGTTCACCTCTGTGTGAGGAACTCCTACTGTTCACCTCTGTGTGAGGAACTCCTACTGTTCACCTCTGTGTGAGGAACTCCTACTGTTCACCTCTGTGTGAGGAACTCCTACTGTTCACCTCTGTGTGAGGAACTCCTACTGTTCACCTAAACACCTCTGTGTGAGGAACTCCTACTGTTCACCTCTGTGTGAGGAACTCCTACTGTTCACCTCTGTGTGAGGAACTCCTACTGTTCACCTCTGTGTGAGGAACTCCTACTGTTCACCTCTGTGTGAGGAACTCCTACTGTTCACCTAAACACCTCTGCGTGAGGAAAACTAACGACACGTTTACAAAGCTGTGTATAAAGATTTAGGAGAAACAGAACAGCCCTAAATCAACCAATCCACAAAAGATGTTAAGACATGTTTTCTGACAGGAAAGAATAATTTTATTTCTGTTGTAAGAAACAGGAAGTCACAAACTAGGAATGTGCTTTGGCTCGAGTTATGAACAAGTTGTAAGAAGATAAAGAATGGAAGTACTGTTTCCAGTGCAGTTAAAGAGACAAACTAAATGTGTTCATGAAACAGAATCACGTTTGTGTCCAGCTCAGTCCGTCAATAAAACACTTCTGTTCAAGGCGTTGGATTAAGAACATATTGAGACTTCTCAGGACGATATCAACACTGGTATAATCCTGCTCTCTCTGCGTCTGTAATCTGCTGTGGTTAAATCCATGTTAGCGTCTGTATAACTTCTTAAAGCTCAGGTCCATGGTATCGTTTAAACGCCGCAGATTTACACGCTCCACAAGTACATCAGGAACCGAGGCAGCGGTGGCGATGGCTGCTTACGTAGAAACACAGTTTTACTTAAAGATGTTATTGATGTGGACAGATGTGGCTTTACGTCTGAGCAGATGGCGAGAGAAGCAGCGCTGCCCGGAGAAAACACAACAGCAGAATGCTTTTTAAGACGGGAGATAAAAAACATGTTGTGCTAAGTTTTCTTATGATGGATCGTAGAGAGACAGGTGGAACCAACGAGGATCCAACCCGGCTTTTACTCCAGTCTGCGCTGAAACGGCTCCTATCAAAGTCGTGGCGTGGTGTCTGTGCGGCGGACGAGGGCCAGCTACGATCTGATTGGCCGCTCCCCTGTCACATGGATTAAATCTGGATTATACGTTCACAAACAAGACATGGAAGCTGGTTGGTGGCCTCTGCTCGGAGTGGAGCAAAGAGTCAAAACAACTGTGATTAGTGAGAGCTGTACCAGGGGACACCATCGTTCAGGCGTGAGAGCTGTACCTGGGGACACTATCGTTCAGGCGTGAGAGCTGTACCAGGGGACACCATCGTTCAGGCGTGAGAGCTGTACCAGGGGACACTATCGTTCAGGCGTGAGAGCTGTACCAGGGGACACTATCGTTCAGGCGTGAGAGCTGTACCTGGGGACACTATCGTTCAGGCGTGAGAGCTGTACCTGTGGACACTATCGTTCAGGCGTGAGAGCTGTACCAGGGGACACTATCGTTCAGGCGTGAGAGCTGTACCTGTGGACACTATCGTTCAGGCGTGAGAGCTGTACCAGGGGACACTATCGTTCAGGCGTGAGAGCTGTACCAGGGGACACCATCGTTCAGGCGTGAGAGCTGTACCTGGGGACACTATCGTTCAGGCGTGAGAGCTGTACCTGGGGACACTATCGTTCAGGCGTGAGAGCTGTACCTGTGGACACTATCGTTCAGGCGTGAGAGCTGTACCTGGGGACACCATCGTTCAGGCGTGAGAGCTGTACCTGTGGACACTATCGTTCAGGCGTGAGAGCTGTACCTGGGGACACCATCGTTCAGAGTGCAGCGTCCGCTGGGTCCTCACCTCAGAGCGTGTGGAGGGCCCTGACTCTGGAGGTCGACATGTTATAGGACGCACGATACAGATACAGGTGCTAGATACCTGAGACATGTGTACAGATACAGGTGCTAGATACTGACGATACAGATACAGGTGCTAGATACCTGAGACATGAGTACAGATACAGGTGCTAGATACTGACGATACAGATACAGGTGCTAGATACCTGAGACATGAGTACAGATACAGGTGCTAGATACCCGAGACATGAGTACAGATACAGGTGCTAGATACTGACGATACAGATACAGGTGCTAGATACCTGAGACATGAGTACAGATACCTGAGACATGAGTACAGATACAGGTGCTAGACACCTGAGACATGAGTACAGATACAGGTGCTAGATACCTGAGACATGAGTACAGATACCCGTGACATGAGTACAGATACAGGTGCTAGATACTGACGATACAGATACAGGTGCTAGATACCTGAGACATGAGTACAGATACAGGTGCTAGATTCCTGAGACATGAGTACAGATACAGGTGCTAGACACCTGAGACATGAGTACAGATATCTGAGACATGAGTACAGATACAGGTGCTAGATTCCTGAGACATGAGTACAGATACAGGTGCTAGATACTTGAGAAATGAGTACAGATACAGGTGCTAGATTCCTGAGACATGAGTACAGATACAGGTGCTAGATACTTGAGAAATGAGTACAGATACCTGAGACATGAGTACAGATACCTGAGACATGAGTACAGATACCTGAGACATGAGTACAGATAGAGGTGCTAGACACCTGAGACATGAGTACAGATATCTCAGACATGAGTACAGATACTTTAAAGTGACTTATTGTACAGTGTGACAGCGGTGGGGATAAAGGCGCCACAGATTAATCTTGTCTTCTTTGTAGATTTAAAAGTATTTTGTTTCTTCTATACCAGAGAAGAGCAGGTTAGAGATGTTTACCTTGATATTTTTTGATGAATACTTGTCAAGGACATGTTTTGAAAAGTCCCTCGAGGTAATAACATTGCTAACCTACTATTGTCTGGTATGGATTTTTATTTTATTTTATTCTATTTTACCATCTTATTACTGACTTATTTTTTCAATTTCAAGATCTATTATCTTAAATAATAGACTGTTTGGCGTGTGATTCTGAGTCTTATTTCCTTCTTTCTCTGCTTAGTGTAAGCTCTCAGTCGTACAGGGATTAGTCAAAGGAAGGTTTCTCATCTGTACTTCTCAGCAGGATTTCCCGACGTTTCGTCCTTAATCCAAAAAACTTTTTCAAGGGAATGAAATCTCAGGGTCTAAAAGGCTTGTCCAAAAACAACGCCCTAACTATAGATAAGGTCAGTGATGTGCTAATGAGTTAGGATCGTTAGACCTATAGGTCTGTGACATGCTAATGAGTTAGGAGTGCTAAACCTATAGGTCTGTGACATGCTAATGAGTTAGGATCGTTAGACCTATAGGTGTGTGACATGCTAATGAGTTAGGAGCGCTAGACCTATAGGTCTGTGACATGTGAATGAGTTAGGATCGTTAGACCTATAGGTCAGTGACGTGCTACTGAGTTAGGATTGTTAGATCTATAGGTTTGTGACATGCTAATGAGTTAGGATCGTTTGACTTATATGTATGTGACATGCTAATGAGTTAGGTTCGTTAGACCCATAGGTCACTGACATGTTAATGCGTTAGGATCGTTAGACCTATAGGTATGTGATATGCTAATGAGTTGGGATCCATCCATCCATCCATTTTCTACCCCTTAATCCATTTCTGGGTCAGGGGGGTGGCAGTCAGAGATGCCACCCAAGTCACATAGCACCAGCCCCTCACTGACCCTCTGCAGGTGTTGAGTCCACTGGAGGACCTGAGTTGGGATTGTTTGACTTATATGTATATGACATGCTAATGAGTTAGGATCGTTAGACCCATAGGTATGTGACATATCAATAAGTTGTCCTCTGTGATGTCCTCTGTGATGTCCACCTGGTTCTGCACCTCCTTCTGTGGTTTCTTCCTCGACAGAAGCAAGATTTGCTCAAGTGGAAAACTGTCCAATCTCCACAACAAACTTTTCTGCCTCGGAGACGTTTCCTTTCTGCGGGACACGCTGCTAAACGCTTTCATCTTCCAAAAAACCTGCGCTGAAGTTTAACAGGCGGAAAACACAGATCCACGGATCCTCAGCGTTTAAAAGTGAAGAGGCGCAGGGTCTGTGTTTGCAGAGACTTTGAAGACCCGTGTCGGTGTGCGGCGTGTGCAGGCAGCAGCTGTTCACTTGGATGGACGCTGAATGAGGCGTTTAAAGACAGGAATAGCTCGGGAGAATTGAGCGCTTGCCTCTCTCTGAAGCAGGGTCCCAGTGTGGAGCTAAACAGAGCGAGCAGGATCCAGTTTGACTGACGTGAAGGAGAAAGTGTTGGTTGTTGGATTGGAGAAGGACTCATGCGATGCAAAGTTGTGTCACAATATTGTTCCCTCATTCAAAACAATCCTAGTATTATAGTTAGCCTCATCCACGCCGTTATCCAGCATGGCTAAGATGTGAGGTGTGGTTAGGAAGGAATCTTTTATTTGTATAGTGTATTTCACTTGTATTAGTGTATTTTGCTTTATCATTTGGGTGGGTAGTGGTCCTCTTGTTTGTGGTCTGGTAGAAACCAGAAAGAGAGACCAGAGAGAGACCAGAGAGAGACCAGAGAGAGACCAGAGAGAGACCAGAGAGAGACCAGAGAGAGACCAGAGAGAGACCAGAGAGAGACCAGAAAGAGACCAGAGAGAGACCAGAGAGAGACCAGAGAGAGACCAGAGAGAGACCAGAGAGAGACCAGAGAGAGACCAGAGAGAGACCAGAGAGAGACCTGATAGAGATAAGAGAGAGAGACCATAGAAAGGGACCAGAGAGAGACCAGAGAGAGAGACCAGAGAGAGAGACCCCAAGCTGTCACAGATGTTAAGAATTAATACTTGCTATTGAGAACTTGGGAATGGAGACTTTTGATCAGGGTCAGAAGAGGACTGTTGTGTTGTTGTTTTAGTACATGCTGCTCACTTCTCCACGTTCCAGCAAAACACGTTTGTCCAGAAGGTCTCTCTGTGAGCCGTGAGATGTGAGGTCAAATAGACTCTTCAATTAAGCTTAGTGTAAAGTGGTCCCTGAACATGATCTCAGCGCCCCCTGAAGACTAGGACCGGCACTGCAGTGTGTGGCTCTCATGCACGTGCACAGAGGGGCTCGGCCGCTCTCTGACCAATCAGAGCAGCGGTAGAGCGGAGTCAGAGCGGGAAGGAAAGGAGCAGAGTTTGTGGCAGTAAAGTGTGGATTTAAAGAAAACTGAAGGATTTAAGAAGAAAAAAGTTCAGGACGACAAGAGACACTAACATCCACACAAAATCTGATCTTTATGAAAGCTGTAGGTTCTCTGTAGGTTCTCTGTCAGGTTCTCTGTAGGTTCTCTGTCAGGTTCTCTGTCAGGTTCTCTGTCAGGTTCTCTGTAGGTTCTCTGTCAGGTTCTCTGTCAGGTTCTCTGTCAGGTTCTCTGTCAGGTTCTCTGTCAGCTGAGGTCGAGCTGTTTTAGTTTACATTGAGTTCTATATGACCTTTTCTGGGCAGCCCACGTGAATTTAGTCTGCAGTACCACAGCGCCCCCTGTGGCCGTGGGTGGGACAGCTACAAGCTAGTAATACTCTATCCAGTTATTATTATAGATCCATGAGAAGAACACATGTCTACCCTTGTAATTGTAGTAGTAAAAAACATGGTTCCTCTTTAAAAAACTGACCTGGAGTTTCAGACCCATCAATGCTCATGAAATACCAATGTATTTTTGGTGTATTGTAGTTACCATAATTTCTTGAAATATTTCTTTGGCTTTTAATACCAAGTAAGTAAAGATGTTATTTGTAGTGATGAAGTAGTGTTCTATAATGCTTACGTATTAACTAACATGAGAACAGTAAGTGAAGATTATTCTGTGAGTAATAATTCAAACACATAATCTGTGGTCTTCAGTGCTTCTTACATAGAAAGCTATTAATACATAAAGAAGTAAATTCCCCTGGAGTTTGCCTCTGGTCCAAACCGGTCCAAACCATTTCAGACTGGTCCAGACCAGGTGCAGACTCCAGCTGAGGGTGAAGGCACAGACATGGACGTGGCCTCGTTGATTCAAAGTAAATCCAGAGAAATGTAAGTTTGGTGCTTTCTCTTTGAAAACACTATTTCTCTTTCCTCTGTGATCAAATATCTACAGTCTGTGGGAAAATCTTTTTATTTTCTTGGCCGTTTGTGTCCTAACGTCATGTAGCTAAAGCTAAAGCTCAGAATCAGAATCAGAATCATTTTTATTGCCACGTAAGTAACAGGAGGTCACAGACTTGGAAATTGCTTTGGCTCAGTGCAACAGTCAACAGTCAAAAAGAGATAAAGCTAACTCTAGTTTCACACTGTTGTGTTAAACATGTCCCAGAACAATCTCATCAATGTTTGTTGTTTACTAAAGTGATTAATGCGAAGGTTAAGATGATTAACTTTACCTGCAACATGTTTAAACCAGAGCAAACCATGTGTTTGATGTTTCACACCGCTAACTACAAGCTAACTGTAACAGAACGTTAGCTGCTAACAGGCTAACTGTAACAGAACGTTAGCTGCTAACAGGCTAACTGTAACAGAACGTTAGCTGCTAACAGGCTAACTGTAACAGAACGTTAGCTGCTAACAGGCTAACTGTAACAGAACGTTAGCTGCTAACAGGCTAACTGTTGCTAATGCAGCTATGTTACACCAGTGCTTTCACCAGTTTAACTATTGATCTGTTTATCACAGTATTGTTCATTTGCAGTCTATGCTTTGAAAATATATCAAGCCGTGGCAAGAGCTCTGGTGTGTGTCCTCTTCTCTGTCTGGCGCACACCGGGGTAGTCTTGCACAGTTTTTCCAATGTGGTTTTACTGCAAATGGCAAATAAATGAATCTGAATCTGAATCTGAATTCAGATTCAGTAAAAGACACACACGCTGCCTCATTAACGTCTGAATCTGTGAGTGTAATGACAGTGTATTGATGATGCTAATATGGAAAGTACTAAAACAATTTGTTATGTAATAAAGTGTATATTTTTGCACATTTTACCTTTTGTTTTTACATTTTAAAATCAAGAACAATCATCAGCACGTTGTCTTTACGGGTAGAGCTCTGTGAGATCAGAGACACCGACCCCTCGTACACACACATCACTACAAGGTCAAAAACACACATTAAACGTTGCTTTAAACTGGCCTGAGGTGAGTGACAGACGGTGCTTCTGTTTGAAGACAACGCTGAGGAAAAAGTTTTGATCCAACACAACTGTTCACATGGAATAAATGTTGATGTGGGAAAGTTTCAAAAGGTTTCATCATTTCAGAACACGTGTTTTATTGTGAGTTTTACAGATGTTTTATTGTAAACTAATGTAAATAATCTTAATGATAAATTATCTTTGATCAATTGCATGTTAGAGATTTCTTTTTCTTCTTCAGTGGAAAAATAAAATGTTTGGGGAAAAGGACTGGCTCAAAGTATCTTTATTGCTTCGTTTTGTTTTCTTAGTGAGCAGAAAATGACAACATTTAGAAATTAGGGCAAAGCTACCACTTAGTTATGCTTTAGATCTCAGCAGCAGTTCTTTCTGTGGCTGATGAATGTAAGCTGAGTGTGACCTGTGTGTTCTCCTCCTCTTCCTCCTCTTCCTCCTCTTCCTCAGCTGTACCTGGGAGTGGTGCTGGCGGCCGTGGTCATCATCACCGGCTGCTTCTCGTACTTCCAGGAGGCCAAGAGCTCGCGCATCATGGACTCCTTCAAGAAGATGGTCCCCCAGGTGAGTCCAGCACCAACCTCCTCTCTGGGTTCAGGGTCTTTATCCGGGGGCAGCGAGACTTTAGCCCCGCCTACATCATCCATCCATTCAGATCATCGTCTCTCTGGTCTCTCTGTGGTTTCTCTGTGGTTTCTCTGTGGTTTCTCTGTGGTTTCTCTCTGGTCTCTCTCTGGTCTCTCTCTGGTCTCTCTCTCTGGTCTCTCTCTGGTCTCTCTCTGGTCTCTCTCTGGTCTCTCTCTGGTCTCTTTCTGGTCTCTCTCCGGTCTCTCTCTGGTCTCTCTCTGGTCTCTCTCCGGTCTCTCTCTGGTCTCTCTCTGGTCTCTCTCTGGTCTCTCTCTGGTCTCTCTCTGGTCTCTCTCTGGTCTCTCTCTGGTCTCTCTCTGGTCTCTCTCTGGTCTCTCTCTGGTCTCTCTCTGGTCTCTCTCTGGTCTCTCTCTGGTCTCTCTCTCTGGTCTCTCTCTGGTCTCTCTCTGGTCTCTCTCTGGTCTCTCTCTCTGGTCTCTCTCTGGTCTCTCTCCGGTCTCTCTCTGGTCTCTCTCTGGTCTCTCTCCGGTCTCTCTCTGGTCTCTCTCTGGTCTCTCTCTGGTCTCTCTCTGGTCTCTCTCTGGTCTCTCTCTGGTCTCTCCCTTTCTGAATAGGTTTAAGTGAAACACCACTTTCCGATCGGGAAACTTGCTCAGACAGTGCACTTTAACGGACAACTGTTAACGTCGAGCCCTGATCCTAAAAACCTCTTACATACGTCACACACTACAATGCTTTGGATGGACTGCTGAATAGAATGAAGGACACACACACACACAGACACACAGACACACACACACACACACAGACACACACAGACACACTCACACACAGACACACACAGACACACTCACACACACACAGACAGACACACACACACACAGACACACTCACACACACACAGACAGACACACACACACAGACACACACACACACACACAGACAGACACACACACACAGACACACACTCCAATAGAGCGCAGAGACAGTGTGGTTGCACTATAATCAGAGCCCAGTGGATCAGGTTCAGCCTCAAACACCAGAATCATGAGCGGTCGATTTAATGTCTGCCCCAGTTTCCATCTTTTCTTTAATCTTTCACATTCCTAAAGCTCAAAAAGCCAAAGTAAAACATATAAATAATGCACAGTGTTCTTTAAATGGAGTCTGACCCTGTGTGCTCCTCTAGCATCGCTCACAAACGCTTTAATCTGTTGGAGTTAATCTATCTCCTCCTTTCTCTTACCTTCGCCCCGTGGCTCGGATTTTGCTCACAATCCGGCGTGCGCCCCTCACCTTACAAAGTCTAGACATGCTTTTTTAAAAACGTTTGTAATGGAGAGATTTCCCAAACTGCAGGCACTACTTTGATAAGGAAATTAGAGGGTTTAGGAGGAGTAAATACACACTCGCTGCTGGAGACTGCAGTCTCACACATGTTTCTACAGAAGGCTGCGTTATTAAAGGAGAGAGAACGTGTGTCTGCTACATATCTGCATATCTGGATCATCATGAGACCAGAGGGAGACCGGAGGGAGACCAGAGGGAGACCGGAGGGAGACCGGAGGGAGAGACCAGAGAGAGAGACCAGAGGGAGACCAGAGGGAGACCAGAAAGAGACCAGAGGGAGACCAGAGGGATATTGGAGGGAGAGACCAGAGAGAGAGACCAGAGGGAGACCGGAGGGAGACCGGAGGGAGACCGGAGGGAGAGACCAGAGGGAGACCAGAGGGAGACCAGAGAGAGAGACCAGAGAGAGAGACCAGAGTGAGAGACCAGAGAGAGAGACCAGAAAGAGAGACCAGAGAGAGACCAGAGAGAGAGAGACCAGAGAGAGACCAGAGAGAGAGAGACCAGAGAGAGACCAGAGAGAGAGACCAGAGTGAGAGACCAGAGAGAGAGACCAGAGAGAGACCAGAGTGAGAAACCAGAGACAGAGACCAGAGAGAGACCAGAGTGAGAGACCAGAGTGAGAGACCAGAGTGAGAGACCAGAGAGAGACCAGAGAGAGACAGAAACCCATCCATCCAAACAAATACAAATACATA